AAGGTGAAGTAGGGGATGACACCCCGCCCAGGACCCCACCCGGCCCCTTAGGCTAAGCCTGGTGGAGCCCCAGGCACAGCTGGAAGCTCATCTCATGTTTTCCTAGCCTTTGCTCAAACGTCACCTTATGTGAGCGGCTTTCCCTTCAACTTACATAGCGTCACTGTCCTTTTAAAGCTGCTCCAGCCCGGCTGGTGTGGCTCAGTGGTTGAGCATCAAACCAGGAGCTTCCCGGTCAGGGCACATTGCAGGGTTGTGGGCTCGATCCCCAGTAGGGGGCGTGCAGAAGGCAGCCGGTCAATGACACTCNGAGCTCTTGCACCTCACAGAAGGGACAGTCTTCTTCCATGGGTAGGGTTCCTTGCACCTCAAACTAAAATACAATGTTCCAAAGGACCAGTCCAGCAGACAGGCCCAAGCACAGCCTACCCGACAGCAGGCCCTCGCACAAATCCTGCGAGCCCCAGAGGACCAGGCCTGATGATAGGGGCTCTTCAAAGAACAGCAAGAAGTGCCACCTTGCTGAGGGCTGCCTCCCCCTCCCGAAAGAACTGGTCAGCACAGGCCAGTGCAAGAGGATGGAAGCCTCCCGACTTGAACAGGCTCGAGGCTCATGCCTACACCTGAGCAGCTGGGCCCCCCACCCCGTTCCTCCAAGCTGAGCCTGTGGCTCAGAGAAGGGGAGCCCCTAGAAGCTCAAGTGAGGACTTTTTTCTTTTGTAAATGCATCTTTGATTTCAGAGAGAGAGAGGGAGAAATATCAATGATGAGAGCGTCATTGATCGGCTGCTTCCTGCACGCCCCCTGCTGGGGATCGAGGAGCCTGCAACCTGGGCATGTGCCCTGACCGGGAATCGAACCTCAACCTTCTGGTTCATAGGTTGACACTCAACCACTGAGCCATGCTGGCCTGGCAAGTGAGGACTTTTTTTTACACTTGGACTAACTACCAGAGCAGCATCTCCAAGGTGCACATGACCAGGAAAGTGACCGAAAAGTACTTACGAGGGCAGGTCTCCTCCCACGTGGTCCCACCATCCACCTGGGCTGGACTCTTCATCACAGAAGAGCCAAGGAAACGTGGAGTTTTCACTCTGGAGTCTTGTACTTACTACCCCACTGCCCCTGGTCCCCCACCCCTCCAACACAGGAGATGAGACGAGAAGTCTGCTGCGAACGTGTTTATTATGTGCCAAAAAAAACTACACCACAGCTTACTCCACACATCTGCAGGAGAGTGCAGTCTTGCCTGCATATACTACAATGAGGTAGAGACTTCACACACGGCTTCACGAAACCCACAGAGTAGCTGGGATATGCAGCGATGCCACGTCAGCTCAGCGGGGGGGAGAGGGGGGTGACTGGTTCTTTGGCACACAGCTTCCCAAAGAGAGGCAAGTCAATTTTTTTTTTTTTTTAAAAAAAGAAAAGTCAAGTTTTCAAATTCCAGTAGCATTTCCGTCAACTGTAACTGTCGCTCCATACATTTCTCAAATCAAGGAAGGAAGGAAGGGTACTTGTCCCCTCTAAGAGAAAGGGCTCCTGTGAGCCGTCTTCTGCCCCCACCAAAAAAAGCAGCCCTTTTTTTTTTT